TTTAAAAACACAGAGTCACTACAAAGAAGGAAGAAACATAGAAGAATCATAACACACAGCAAAGATTAAAGACACACAGGGAAAGTTCCACAGAGGACATATGGCCACAGCTGGTGTGCATCAGGAAGAGCTCCACCAGGATCAAGAACAATATGGAAAACAGAATGATCTTCAGAAAGGAAGTCCCTGGGATCAGTGTGATGGAGTAACAAGTTAAGCCTCTGCCTACAGCACTAGCATCCCATGTGGGCACCAGTTTGTGTCCAAGGTGCTACAATCCCAATCCAGCTCCCTGCTGATGTGCCTGGGAAGGTGGTAGAAGACAGCCCAGGAGCTTGTGCCTGTGCACCTATGTGGGAGACCTAGAGGAAGCTCCTGGCTCCAGGCTTTGGACTGGCTCAACACTGGCCATTGTGTTCATCTGGGGGGTGGTGAACCAGCAGAAGAAAAATCTCTCTCTCTCTTAGTGTCTCCCTCTCTGTGTAGCTGTCTCAAAGATAAAGAAAATAAGTCTTAAAACAAAACAAAAATAGAAGCAGAAAGGAGGTTCCTTGTGTCTTCTTCTTGACTGGGAATGCCTCAAGAGAGGAATGGTACAAGGCGGTGATTATGTCTTCCATATTTTCACAAAATTCTTTAAAGAGAGCAGCTACATTACCTGCAGTAAATCTAATTTCCCTCCTCCTCCCTTGTCTCTTTCTCTCTCTCTCTCTCTCTCTCTCTCTCTCTCTCTCTCGTTCTCTCTTTCTCTTTCTCTCTCGGCTTGGTTCCACCTGCCTGTGACCTTGCCAAAGATGCCTGCCAGCCCTTCCACTCCCTTCCTAATGCTTCTTGGAAGTCTTTTATAACTGGACTTTAGTGCCCTGGCCCTTCTGATCCAATCATGTGCCTTATACACAACCAGTCCAAAGTTCAAGATCATTTTCTCCATGAATAATCAGCAAACATACTTACTCAGTAGCCATTTGTTCCCAAGCAGTAAAGAAGAGGATTGTCCTTTTGATTCCCTTTCCAGAATGCTTGCTGGATTGAAATCCTTACTCCTTTGGATCAGCTTTTTCCCCTCTTCTTTTCCTCCTGCCTTGCTCCAGTGGCTGATTGACAGATTCTGACTTCTACCTGCTGTTTTTGCTTCTCCCTTCCCACAGCAGTGACCACTGCCAACTTACAGGATTCCTGGAGGTGTGGGTCAGCCTGAACGCTCTGTCATGGCCAGCCAATGGTTTTCCATTGACCTTCAGCAGGAAGTGAGCTGCCCCATCTGCCTGGACATTCTGCAGGACCCTGTCACCATCGACTGTGGGCACAACTTCTGCCATGGTTGCATTACTCAGCTTAAGAAAACTTCTGAAAATTTCTTCCAATGTCCCATCTGCAAAAGTTCATTGAAAAAGGACACATTCTCACCCAATTGGCTGTTGGGGAATCTGGTGGAGAGAATCCAAGCTATAAACTTCTCTGAGAGGTGGTCAGAAGAGGAGGAACTGAGGTGTCCAAAGCACGGGGAGAAGCTGCACTACTTCTGTGAGGAGGATGGCGAACTCCTCTGTGTGGTGTGTCATGACTCCAAGGACCACAAATCCCATAACATGAGTGTGATAGAAGAAGCTGCCCAGCATCACCAGGTAGGCACTGGAGCTCCCCTTTGCTGACAGTTCAGTGGAGATCTTGAAGTTGTTCCCTCCTTCCTGTGGGTTTGTTCTCTATGGCTCCTACAGGTTACACTTAACCAGGCCTGTGAGCTCAAGTTTATACTCTGGAAAACTGCTGTCTGTGTCAATCATGGAATAATGGAGAGTCGAAAATAAGATTTTTTAAAGATTTATTTATTTTTATTGGAAAAGTGGGTTGACAGAGAGATGGAGAAACAAAGAGAGAAAGATCTTCCATCCACTGTTTCACTCCCCAAATTGCCACACCAACCCTAAATGAGTCAAACTTAAGCCAGGAGCAAGGAACTTCTTTTGGGTCTCCCACATGGGTGCAGGGTACCAAAGCTTGGGGTCACCTTTTGTTGCTTTCCCAGAACACAAGCAGGGTGCTAGATGGGAAAGATTTGGTGCTAGATGGGAATGATTTGGTACCCATATGGGATCCTGGAGCTTGCAAGGGGAGGATTAGCTAATTAGGCTATTATGTCAGGCCCCTACAGATTTTTAAAAAAAAGAATTATTATTTTTATTTGAAAGGCAGATTTAAAGAGAAGGAGATAAAGATCTTTTATCTGCTGGTTCACTGCCCAAATGGCTGCAACTGCTAGAGCTGAGCCAATCCTAAGCCAAAAGGCAGGAGCCTTTTCTGGGTCTATCAAATGGGTGCATGGTTGCAAGGACTCGGGCCATCCTCTTCTGCTTTCCCAGGCCATAAACAGAAAAGTGGATCAGCAGTGGAGCAATGGAGACTTAAACCAGCACCAATGTGAAATGTTGGCACTTCAAAGGGGAGGATTAACCTGTTAACCATGCAGTGATCCCAAGACATAGGAATTTGATTTAGAAGAGGTGGACTCTACGTTGGGGTCTCTAAGATGTCATCATATCAGATACAGTTTGACATCAGGAGCAGCCTCCTCCTTTCCACCCCAATTGTCCTCAGCAGACACAGGAGAAAAAGAAAGAAGAGTGAAACATTTGTCCCACTCACCTTCAATACCTTGACCATCCCCGCCTTAATTGGAAATACACATAGACATCCCTCTCAACTATGCATGCAATATTAAAAATAAAATTAAATATGAAATTTTAAAAAGAGATGTGTGGGGTCAGCGCAGTAGCTTAGCAGCTAAAATCATGGCCTTGCACACACCGGGATCCCATACATGTGCCAGCTAGTATCTTCGAGGCCCCACTTCACACCCAGCTCCATGTTGGGGCGTGGGATAGCAGTCAAAGACAATCCAAAGCCTTGGAACCCTTAGCGCACCAGGGAGACCCAGAAGAGACTCCGGGATCCTGACTTCAGATTGACTCAGCTGTGGCTGTTGCAGCCACCTGGGCAGTGAATCGATGAATGGAAGATCTTACTCTCGGTTTCTCTTCCTTTCTGCGTATCTGACTTTTCAATAAAAAATTAAAATAAATCTTTAAAAAAAATAGAGAGATGTGGCTCAAATCCAGACTTTGAGTTGTTTGTGTGACTTTCAAGGAATCCCTCAGATTCTCTGAGCCTCAGATGCCTAGGCTTTCAAATGAAACTTATATCTTCAAGAAAAACGTTTATTTATTTCAAAGGCAGAGTTAGAGAGAGATATTCCATGTTCACTCCCCAAAATTGCTGAAACAGCTGAAGCCGAGCCAGTCCCAAGCTGGGAGCCAAGAGCTTCTTCCTGGTCCCACACATGGATGCAGAGAACCAAACTCTTGGGCCATCCTTCACTGGTTTCCAATAGCATTAGCAGCAGACCCCAAACCTACCTCTTCAAAATGTTGGTCAAACAGGTGATGGAAAGTTGTGAGAGTTATTTGACAGTTCTGAAGCACCATCCAAACATTACTCAAAGTTATAGTAACCCTCTTCCCTTTTAGGTCACCTGGGTTCTGATTTCTCCCTTCTCGGGAAAGCAGTGTGGGTTAACACTGACTCCAAGAACTGCCCTGAGCCTTTCATGTGCTCTCTGGAGACACTCGGAGGATTTTATGTAGCTAAGGAAAATCCAGGTAGAGCCTTGTATGAAGGTTCCTCTCCCCACAGGAGCGGATCCAATTACATGTGGGGATCTTGCAGCAAAAGAAGCAGGTATACTCAAATGATCAAGATGAAGAGAAGATCTCCACCTTCATGGTAAGGAAAAACTCCACCCTGTATTGCTTTGGTTTTGGTGTGTGATGGCCAGCAAAGATCCATGCTAACTAGTCCATCTCAGGTATCCCATGTGGGCTGGCACATCGGTCTGACACCAGGTCTCAATCCCCTCGCTTACCTGCCAGTACAGTGGCCTTGTTGTTGGGAGTCCTTCAGGAATCACTCAGATGTGCACAAGATCTGGCACTGGGAGAGGTTCTGATGGAGGAGCTTGGGGAACGCCTCTGTCAGGACACAGTTCTTGCAGGTAAGCACAAAAACCGAGACAGGGAGCAGCCCACATTAGGTAAGGCAACGGTACCGACCAGCACACATTTGGCTCAGATCAGGGGCCAGCAAAGCTGGGCCAGTTCATATCACTTGCTGGCAAGAACCAGGATGGGGTGTGGAACATGCTGGATTAGGCCACAGTACCAGCCAATCCACATTAGGGCCTGGGTTGGGGGCTGGCTTGGCTGGGCTAGGCTGTAGCCCCCACCAGTGAGAGCTGAAATTAGGGGTGGGCTGGGACTGGCCAGGCTACAGCACCCACTGGCAAATGCCGAGGTGAGGTGGCCATACCAGATTGGGACACAGCACCCAACCAGCACACCTGAGACCCAGGGCGTGGGGGTGAGCGTTGTAGTGGGAGGAGTTGGAGGGCCTACCTGCTCGGCCACTACTTCTATTGGTGAGCATGAGAGCTGGGATCGGGGGCAGGTCAGGCCAGGCAAGGCTGCAGCACCTGTTGGCCTGCATGTGAACTGGAGCAGAAGAAAGGCAGGATGGGCTAACTATACCTTCTGGTGTATGCAGAAGCCATAGTGGTTGGGTCTTGCCGTAGCATCAGCTAGCAGATGCTGGTATGGTGGCAAATTCTGTTAAGCTATAAAGCAGAACTACCGAGAGAATGCAAGATGTGGGATTGGGCCCAGTAGGGAAGCAGTGGGCACCACCCTGTTGGGTTGCCACACCAACTGATTAGCATGAGAACCAGCTAGAAGCAGGCATAGCTACACAGAGAGTGGCACCCACTGGCATGTGTGTGGGTTGGATAGTGGGGTTGGTTGGGATGAAGTAGGCTTCAGTGCCCACTAACATGTATGAGAGCTGAATGGGCTGTGGGACAGACTGGACTAGTCTGCTGTACATACTAGTAAGTACAAGAAACAGTGTAAGGTGTGGGCCTGGTGGGGGTTATTGCAGGTCACTCCAACTAGGCTGCAGCTCCCACTGGTTTGTATGAATGTCAAGTGTGTGTTGGGCAGGATTGGGCTAGGCTGCAACACCTGCTGGTTTGCCTAGAAAACAGGGCTGGAGACAGAAATGACCCTAAACTGCAACTACACATGTGTGCATAAGCTGATTTGGGAAACGGACTGTGTCGGACTCAGTATTGGCATGCACACACAAGAATTAGGTCTAGGACCACTTCAGATGGGATATATTTTGGGATCCCTCCAACTGAACTGCTGATCTCAAAACCCCAACCATGAAGAGAAGTACAGGTTGTATGGTCTGACCGTGGAGTGCATGTGTCAGAGCTGAGCCTCTTCAATGACTTAGATGGAGCAGTGAACAGTATAGCCAGATGAACAATGAGGATATGGCAGTATATTGGAGCCTGCAGAGGTTGCCTGGTACCATAACAGAGGACAAAAAAACAGAACAAATTAATCAACTGCCCCAGCTAAGCATTCACAGTGAATGGGTAAACAGAGACTTGAAGGTGGACTATGTCAGCCAGTGGATTCTGTTGAGATTTCATCGTGATTGGAGTGGTGGGATCAATAGGAATTCAGAATTGTTGAACTATCAAAATCACTTGAGCAGGACCCTCATGCCCCACATCGGGGACCCTGGGATGGTGGAGAGACTGAGTGTGGCGTCTCCCTTTATCTCCTCACTTCCCCAGATACAGAAAGGAAAAAAAGAGAATGTAGAAGCAATGATCTTACCCACTTTCCTATAGCCCTTGACCATTTGCACCCTAATGAACTACATAAAAATCATCAAAAAATTAAAAATAAAAAGAAATGAAAAGAAAGACTTGAGAGGAAGAGTGACAGTGAGAGGAGAGATGGATTTTTTTAATTCACCTTCACTTTCCAATGGCCTCAAAGGCCAGGAGACACTGCGTCAGAAGCAGAGAAACCGGTACTTGCACCAGAACTCAAACACAAGCTGCTTTCACTACAAATAATGTCTTAATGTGCTGCACCACACACTGGCATGGACATGCTTATAATTGTGTGTCTCAGGGCCAGCATCATGGCGCAGTGGGTTTATTCACCTCCTTTGACACCAACATCTCACATGAGTCCTGGTTTGTGATCTAGCTGCTCTATTTCCAATCCAGGGCCCTGCCTACATGCCTAGGAAAGCAGCAGAATAAGGTCCAAGTATGTGGGCTCCTGCACCTGTGTGAGAGATTTGGGTGGGGTTCCTGGAAGCTGGTTTCAGCCTGGCCCAGCTCAGGTTGTTTGGGCATTTGGGGGTGAACAAGTAGACAGATCTCTCTCTCTCTCTGTCTCTCTCTCTCTTTGTCTTTCTCTCTCTCTCTCTCCGCCATTCAAATAAGTGAACAAATCTTTTTAAGAAAAAAAAAAAAAGTTTGGGCCTGGCGCGATGGCCTAGCGACTAAAGTACTCACCTTGAATGTGTAGTGATTCCATATGGGGGCCAGTTCTAGTTCAGGTGGCCCCTCTTCCCATCCAGCTCTCTGCTTGTGGCCTAGGAAAGCAATCGAGGATGGCCCAGAGCCTTGGGACCCTGCACCTGCATGGGATACCTGGAAGAAGTTCCTGGCCCCTGGCTTCAAATCAACTTAGCTCTGGCCATTGCAGTCTCATGGGAGTGAATCATTAAACTAAAGATCTTTCTGTCTGTCTCTCCTCCTCTCTGTATATCTGACTTTGCAATTTAAAAGAAGAAGAAGAAGAAGAAGTCATCTCTTCTCATGTGTGTGCCTTGTCCTACGTTAGTACTCAGTATAACCAAATACAAAAATTGAAATGGAGTAGCATGGTGGAAGGACAGTTGAGGCCATCTCTTCTCTTTGTGTCCCTGTATCTCACCCCAAGGCCCAGGTGAAGTTTGAGAAGCAACGGATCCAGTCAGAATTCAAGCACCTGCAGCAGATACTGGAGGAGGAGGAGAGCTACCTCCTGTCCAGCATGGAGTGTCTGGAAAAAGAAGGTATCAAGGAATGTGAACAGTACGATGCTGCCGTCCAGGCACAGTTCAGCTCATTCAAGGATTCCCTGAAGTCCAAGCAGCAGATGCCACCCAGACAGCTGCTGCAGGTGAGTCCCTATGGGGCAGAATCACCACATGGCAAAACCCAGCCTGGTATCTGGCCTAGCACCCAGCACCTGTCAGAATCCCTGAGTCTGCCCGAGCCATCCCGGCTCTAAGGCAACACCATCCAGCAGAATGAGTCAAAGTGGTAATATGTCATTTGAAACAACAATGCAAGTGTGATGTAGAAATATGTGAACCACATATGTAATTTAGAAATACAATATGAGTTACTGTCCCATATAATCTAGAAGTGTAATGTAAGCCACACGTATAAATTAGAAATATATTGCAAGCCTCCATCTGAAGAACTTCAGCACGTTTAAGGGCAGGCATTTGGCACAGTGGTTAATATGCCACTTGGGACATCCAGTTTCCCTGGGCTGTACCTGGTCAGAGCCCTACCTCCACTTCCCACCCAACTTCCTGCCGATGTAGGATGTGTGTGGAAGCAGGTGATGGAGCAAGTGCTGGGATCTCAGCAGCCCATGTGGGAGACCTGGACTGTGTTCCAGGCTCCTGACTGCTACCTGGCTCAGCCCTGGCTGTGTGAGTATTTAGGGAATGAACCAGTAGTTGGAGAATCTCTCTGTCTCTGTCTCTCTACCTTTCAGATAGATGGAAATTATATTTTAAAATTTATGGGACTGATACTGTGATTTAGTGGATTAAGAAACTACCATATTCATACAAGTGCTGGTTAGAGTCCCAGCTGCTTCAATTCTAATCCATCTCTCTGCTAATATGCCCAGGAAAGCAGCAGAGGATGGGCAAAGCCTTGAGACCTGCACCCATGTGGGAGATGCAGAAGAGGCTCCTGGTTTAGGATTGGCTCAGCTCTGTTGCGGTCAGTTGGGGAGTGAATCAGTAGATGGAAGACCTTTCCTTCTGTCTAGCCTTCTCTTTGTAAATCTGCCTTTCCAATAAAAGTAAATCTTTTTTAAATGCATTTGATGAAGAAATTATAAATGAACACAAAATCCAATTTTTAAAAGGATTTATTCATTTTCTTGACAGGCAGAGTTACACAGAGAGAGGGAGATAAGCAGAGAGAGAGAGATCTACTATTACTGGTCCATTCCCAAAATGGTCACAGTGACCTGGACAGTGCCAGGCAAAAGCCAGGAGCTTCTGCATTTTTCGAACCATCGTGCTGGTTGGAGTGTCTATTAGTCTCTTAAAAGGACAGTTCATGCAGACTCACTCCAATCTTTCTTCTGTCCAAAGGAGTAGGGCTCCCAGCTAAAGTATCAGACAAAGTTCATCTGTAAAATGTCACTCTTTTCTGCTCATCAATGGTTCTTCTTAATGTCCAACTACATTTTCACTTAGTGCCATATCAGCACTTCTTCAAGGAGTCCACATGGTGAGGGAGAACAGGAGAGAGAGAGAATTTCAGAGATGTTCTCACTCCAGCAGCTCTGCCCACTCACTTGCCTGCTTGGCTGCACTCTGGCCCCTCAAGGGTCAGCCGAGTGCTGAGACCATGCTGTTTGTCTTTCTCTTCCAGGACATCAAAGGGACCTTGCACAGGTATGATGGCCATCCCACTTGCATGTTGCCTCCTGAATCATTGCCAAGTTCTGTTCCCAACATAGCTTCAGATACCCTCAAAATTCCCCACTCACCAACACCCACACTCATAGTTTGCAGTCAGAGGTTTAGGCTGCAGAGAAGATCTGAGCTGAGAAAATGAGTTGGCTATGAGAGGCGCAAGCTGTTCTCCCCATCTCCTGAGGACTCCTGCAGGCCTTCTGCTCAGTGGATGCCTCCTGGTCCCCTCTCCCTGCCCCTCTGCTTTTCTCCTCTCCCCTTCACTTCCAAGTCTCCTTGGGCAGCTTCTCACTCCAGCCCCATCACTAGTGCCTGCCTCCTGACTTGACTCTCCCTAGCCCTAGTCCTTGATGTTCACGGCCCCACATGGCTGGATCCAGAGCACCAGCCTCTCTCCCTTGCCTCCCCATGCAGCTCTGCCTTGTCCTCCTAGGAATGGAGAGGTTCAGTTTCAGTTTCACAGCACAACCCCAATTCCTCTGGACCTGCAGAAACAACTGAATAAAGCAAAGTCAAGACATGACTGCATCATCAGGAGCCTGAGGAAATGTGGAGGTAAGGAAGAGGCTGAGGGGCCTCTGTTCTCCTCCCTGGAGGATTCTCCTGTTCACGGCCATCACTGCACCCTTCCATGGCTATGTCTCACTCAGGCATTTCTCCCATGCTCTGTTCCACACGCTGTTTGTTTGTACTCACTGCCCACATTCTTGTGACAGCCACAAAGGGGGCCTGGTCTTCAGCCCCATGTGGCTCTGAAGCCTACGTCCATAGGGAAGAGACAGAACCTTGCCTTCCCAGGGGATGCCAGCATCAAAAGGGGCCATTTAACTCGCTGTGTCACAATGTCAACTTCTCCACTTAGTTTTTAATGTAGCCACAGGAAGAAACATTGGTCCCAGCACAATGGTTCAATGGTTAAATCCTCGCCTTGCAACCACCAGGATTTTATATAGGTGCCAGTTCATGTTATGGCTCCTCCACATCCCATCCAACTGGCTGCTTGTGGCCTGGGAAAGTAGCTAAGGATGGCCCAAAACTTGGGACTCCACACCCATGTGGGGAAACTGGAAGAAGCTCCTTGTGTCAGATTGAATCAGCTCAGCCCCAGCTGTTTTGGCTATCTGAAGAGTGAACCAGCAGATGCCAGATCTTTCTCTCTGTTTCTCCTTCTCTCCATAAATCTGATATGTCTTTCCAATAAAAATGTATCTTTAAAAAAAAAAGGACTTTTTGATTTGAGTTTCAGAGAGAGGAAGAGATTGAGAGACAGAGAGAGATCTTCCATCAACTGGTTCACTCCCTAGATGGTTACAATGGTCAGGGCTGGCCAGGTCTGAGTCAGGAACCAGTTGAATTTTCCGTGTGGGTGGCAGGGGCCCACACAATTAGACCATCTTCTGCTGATTTCCCAGATGTTTTTCAGGGAGCTAGATTAGAAATGGAGCAGCAGAAGTGAGTGTCCAATAGATACACACCCAAATGGTGTGCTGACATGACAGGTGTCAGCTTTATCTGCATGCCACGACACTGACCCTACCACTGCAAAAGTTAAACTTGATGTAGTATGCTTAAATGTTCATGAAAATATGTCCAGAGAAAAAACTGCCCATGACCTTAACTGTTTCACTAAAATAAATTTTTTTTAATTATTGTTTAAAAATCAAAGAGAGAGAGGGAGATAGAGTGTGTGTGTGTTTCATCCACTCAGTTCACTTCCCGAATGTCTGCTACATCCAGGACTGGGCCAGGAAAAAGCCAGAAGTCAAGAACTCAGTCTTAGTTTCCCATGTGTGTGGCAGGAACCTTAGCCTTTTCAGTGTCACCTGGGCTTCCCAGGGTGCCCCTTAGCAGGAAGCTGGAACTGGAAACAGAGCTGGGCATTAAGTGTCCTAAGCAGCATGTTAAACACTGCACCAGAGCTCACCCAAATGTTTCTTTAAGTTCCATTTTTCCATGATTTGCAGAACGAGCGGCAGAGACAGAGAGATCATCCATCGACTGGTTAAGTCCCCAAAGGGCCGCAACAGATGGAACTGGGCTGCTCTGAAGCAGGGAGCTCCTTTCTGTGTCTCCCTGTGTGTGCAAGGGCCCAAGCTTTGAGCCATCTTCTGCTGGCCATTCCCAGGCCATTATCAGAAAGGTGGATTAGAAGCACAGTAGCCAGGAAACAATCTGGCACCCATATGGATTCCCCTGAACTGCAGGCGGAGGATTAGCCTATTATGCCATCATGCCAGTCCCCATGATTTTGTTTTATTTTTATAATTTTTCTTTTATTATTATTATTAGTAGTAGTATTTCAGATGATGTTTATACAGTCAATCAGGGTGGGAAGGATTTCGAGTTAGGGAGAAATGGGTGTGATCATTGTTTCCAAACTTTCTATTGAATCCCCATGAAAACTTAAGTCCCCCTAAATGAGGTCTCATCAGATGGCCACTGGACAGTGCTGGGCTGTGTGGACACCTCAGGAGCAGGGAGGGCAGCAAGGCTGGGAGTCTCACAAGCCCTGACAGCGTGAGAGACAACTCCAGCTCACCGCTCCCAGGGGTTTCACATCAGGGTCTTGTGGTGCGCCCCCCGATTCCTTGCTCTACTTCACGGCCTCTCATGCCTTCTGCTCCCTATGCCCAGATCAACTCCACGCTGACAGGAAAAAATACCAAGCCAAGTTCCTCCAAGACATGAGGACAACCCGCAGGCAGAGTGGTAAGTGGGGGTGCGGGGCTGCTTCCTGTTGCTGGGGGAGAGTGAGACCCCCAAAGGGGAAGAGAAAGAATGCCCCCACAAAGGGAGAATAGGCCTAGGGGAGTGTCTTATTCTTTTAACTCACGAAACTCACAATCATTGCACAAATATTCCAAAGTAATCAAAAATCATGAACTGGTATCTTCCCTGCTCAAAGCTAGTGAAGTTAAGAAACAGCTCTGGATGTGCTGAACACAGAAGCTGCTCTGCTGTTAGCAGCCCTGCCGGACAGTCCCCGTGCTCCTGGGCAAGGTCTCCATCGGGAGGGACAATGACTGGGCCTCCACTTACAAGGGAACTCAGTGTTCCCAGCCCTAATCCCCAGTGACACAGGCCAGCAGGGATCCCCTGTCCTGAAAACAACTGAAAGGTGTTTACACTTCCACTGGGGGCAGTGACGGTGTCCCCTGGGAACCACCGGCTGCCTTTATTCTTGATGCTCGCGGTAAGCAGGCATCGCCTTTGAGTAACTCGCAGCCTCTGAGTCTAAGGATGAAAGTTGGCTTTCCCTCTCAACTCCTTTGGTGCCTGTCTGAAAAATAATAATAATAATAATAATAATAATAATAATCCTAACGAGGACAGAAGCTCACAGCGTGAGCCAGCGTCCCCAGGTAGCAGTCTGGTAGTGCACACAGGAATCTGCCTGTGGTACTAGAGCGGGATACAAAGCCGGTGCGTGTTCCAAGGTGGACACAGCCTGCGGAGGGAGCTGGGGACGGGTGTCCTCGCCCTCACCACAGCTGCTGGGACCAATTCTCAGGTTCCCAGTTCCAACCTGAGGTGGAGAGAAAAGGGAAAGAAGAGAAAACGGGGAAGGGAGGCAGAGGGAGAAAGGCGGTGGAGGAGGGGACGCTGTGGTCCCACAGGCCTTGAAGAGGTGTCCGGTTCCATGGGTGGTGTGGGCAGACGCGAGGTGCGCTGTGCGTGGGGGCAGCCCCGTCTGCCCCTGCACTCCGTGGAGCTGACCCGGACCTGAGCCTGAGGGGGATTCTGCCCACCTCTTCCTTCCTTGTCAAAGGTGACCCAACAGCCCACCCGGGATGCTCAACTCCCCATGCCCCAGCTCAATTCCAACCCCAATCGGGGGTTAGGTTCGCAGTAACAGAATCAGGATTAGAATTGAGCCTGGCGCCAGGTGGAGCTCCCGGAAACGCCGCAGAGGTGGACACCGCGGGCACCTGTACAACTCCCTCGAGCTCCGTGGGGCTCCATCGGGTGCTGAGTGAGTGGCTGACTTGAGGGAAGCTAAGGGAAGGATCTGAGATCCTGGGATGCCGGGGTGGCTGTGGGGTCGATGACTCCTACGAAGCGACAATCGCGGCAGCCTTCCAGCCGTCGCCTGTCCTGTGGTGCCCTCTAGTGGACACACGAGGTCCCTGCGGCTGCGACCACTCCCCTCCTCCAGAGTGAAGTCCACGCAGCAGCTAGGGCCTGCCTGCTCACAGATCGCAGAACCCGTCCCCATGGACGCCACTGGCAGGGTAAAACCTTCCTCTGTGGGGACCTGACCCAGGGCTGCGCCTCTTTCCCCTCATCTTCCCACAGCCCCTGTGACCTTCGATGGGGACTCGGCCCACCCTGCCCTCAGCCTTTCCCGGGATCTGAAAACGGTGATAGCGGACATGATCCCTCAGGACTGCATCGAGGATCCGGGGGAGCCACAGCGCTTCTTCCCGTCCCGTTGCGTGCTGGGCTCGCCAGGCTTCTCCACCGGCCGCCACACCTGGGAGGTGGAACGCAGTGGGCCCAGGGGTGGACCCTGCGTGCTGGGCGTGGCGTGGGAGCAGGCCCCTCGGCAGGGCAGCCTGACCCTGGAGCCTGCCAGCGGCTTCTGGGTGCTGCGCTTCGCCAGATTCAAGTGCCAGGCGCTCACTGGGAGCAACACGTGGGAGGACCTCCCGGTCTGTCCCAGGAGAGTGGGAGTCTGCGTGGATCTCCAGGAAAAGGAAGTCAGCTTCTACGACCCTGATACCAACAACCACATCTACACTTTCCAGGCCTCCTTCCCGGGGAAGATCTTCCCTTTCTTTAGGCTGCTGTTCTCAGGCACCCAGCTCACCCTGAACCCCTAGACATGCTCCCTGGTCATCCTCTGCGTCTCCTTGAGGCCACTGCATCACTGGGCGGTGGGATTCATACCGGGCTTCCAAGAGATCCGGGTCTGTGCATGTAACTCTATTTATGTATTTATATTAAGGATTTATGTATTTTTATTGGAAAAGTAGATTTTACAGAAAGAAGAAGAGAGAGCAAGAGAAAGATCTCCCAACCACTGGTTCACTCCCCAAGAGGCAACTGAACTGAGCTGAACAAAAGTCAGGAGCTTCTGTCAGATTCCCGTGTGTGTAGAGAGGGCCAGGCCTTGTCTCACCATCCACTGCTTTCCCAGGCCACAGCAGAGAGGCGAATTGGAAATGAGCAGCCGGGACATGAACAAGCGACAATAAAGATGCTAGCACTTACGCGCAGAGGATTAGCCAGTCGAGTCATTGCGTTTGCCAGTAACCTCACTTTAGAGGTGCTCCCAGGTCCCCCTCCCATGCTTGCCCCCATTTTCCTCAGCTCTAGGCTCTCTTTCCCTTGGCTAGCAGGTCCTCTGGTTCACCGAGGATATCCCAAATCCTCTCTTCATTGAAGATTAACCCACTAAGGGAAAGCAGTGGCCAGGGTGTCAGGCCGGCCTGCAGAACTCTGGGTGGCAAGATTCAGAATCCAGCCATCAGCCCTGGAGCCATCGTCCTCCCACCAGGCTCTACTTTGAGATGTCTCACAGGACCTTCCACCAAACCCTCAGCAACAACCAGCCTGCTTGTAGACCCCTGCAATGGAGCTCCTTGCTCTCACATTCCCAGAGCGTGCTGGCCTCCTGTGGCCCGCCAATCCCAGGAGGCCCTGGGGCCCAGCCAGAGACACGGCTGCCCTGAGAGGTGCTCATGTCCTGCTCGGTTCTCTGCAAGGTCTGGGAAGTGATCAGTAGCTACCTGCTTCTTGCTTTGTGTCTGACAAAACTAGTTACTGTCACCTACCACTCTGATGGGAGCAGTTGGCTTGCTGTCTGTCCAGTGAGTGAACCAAATTTGGAGGATTGTAGAACAGTTTCTCCAGCCAGGTTGGGGAGATGTTCTATCACACCTGTCCCTGTGTGCCTGAGGTAAAGCACACCCCGCTGTCCATGGCAGCACTGTCTGACAGGACAAGACAGGAAGTGACTCAAACGTCCATCAGCAGCTGATGGTTGAAAACTGTGATGAGGAATCCTCTGGCTGTGTTCTGGTTGAGGTGCAGCTGCAGGAGGCTGGACACTGACCCCAGACTGCCCTTTCTCCTCTGCCATCCAGCTCCTGAGCCCCAGGCCCTGAGCTTGGCTCTGTACACCATCCTTTCCTGACATCTGAAAACTCTGGTCCTGGGCTTGTGTCTCAGCAGTTCAGCCATGCCTGTCCCTGTGCCTTCTGTCCATTTTGCAAATGAGGATATCTGCATGTTGTTATAGGATGAATTCTTTTTAAAAATTGTTAAAGATTTCTTAATTTTCTATGAAAAACAGATTTACAGATTGAAGAGCTAGAAGTGGTCTTCCATCCACTGGTTCACTCCACACATGGCCGAAGTTGCCAGTCACACTGATGCAAATCTGGGAGCCCAGAATTTCTCCTGGGTTTCCCATGCAGGTGCAGGGTCCCAAGCACTTGAGCCTTCCTCTCAAGTGTTCCTAGGTTGTCAGCAAGGAGCTGGATTGGAAATGGAGCAGCTGTGGAAAACTGGCTCCCGTTTGGGATGCTGCTGCTAACCAGCAGAATATTAGCTGGCTATGCCACCATGACAGCCCATGAAAGATGACTTGAAATATATATTGTCACACGGACAAGGTAGGGTGGGGAACAATACACAAATTACAATACATATTACCTAAGGAAGGGGGAAATATTTGGATTTGCTGGCTTATAATTTTGTTTTAGGTGAAAGAACAAATAAAAAACAAATGGTGCTAGCATATAGAGGAGTAGCTTACTGTGCCACCACCCCAGAGTGACTTCTTGGATGTATTTATTGTTAAGTAAAAAAAGTAATGTGTGGAGTAATATACAAAGTACATTATATGTCACCTAAGAAAAGGAAAAATGTATGGATTTGTTGGCTTATAGTTATGTCTTAAGTGAAAGGACAAACCAAAGCCTGGTAAACAGTTCTCTGTGGGGCAGGGAAAGCCAGATGAGAGATGGAAGTTGGCCCTTCAGGATGGATTTTGTGTTGCACATTCAACTTTAGCACCATGTAAATACTATATGTCATTATAAAACAAATAAAACTAAATTATTTTCATCTTATTTGCAAGCAGAGAGAGAGAGAGAAAGAGAGAAAGAGAGATGCCTTCCATCTGCTGGTTCACTTGTCAAAAGCCTGCAACAGGTAGGGCAGGGCCAGAGCAAAGCCAGGCACAAACGAGGTTTCATGGGGCTGGCAGGGACCCAAGGACCATCACCTGACATCTCCCAGGACCCACAAGGAGAAGAGAGCTGGAATCAGAAGTGGAGCCAGGACTCAAACTCGGGCCCTGGATGTGGGATGCAGGCATCCAGGAGTCACAGCTGCTGGCACTGAGCTCTCACCACAGATGACTGCCTTTAAATCACTCCAGAATGAATGTGAGCAGCCAACGCCACACAGGCCATTTATCTCACTTAAATTCTGTTTTATAATGACATCTGCAATAATTTGACTATATTCCTTATAGGATATATCTTAAGGATGAAAACAATCATAAACAGTGACCCGGTGTGTTAGCCTAGTGGTTAAGTCCTCATGTTGCATGTACTGAGTTCCCTTATGGGCATCAGTTCTAATCCCAGCTGCCCCACTTCCCATCCAGCTCCCTGCTGAGGCCTGGGAAAGCAGTTGAGGACGGCCCACAGCCTTGGGACCCTGCGCCTGTGTGGGAGACATGAAAGAAGCTCCTGGCTTCAGATTGGCTTAGCCCCAGCCATTGTGGCTACTTGAGGAGTGAAACAGCAGATAGCAAATCTTTCTCTCTGTCTCTTCTCTCTGTTAAGTGACTTTCCAATAAAAATTTTAAAAACATTTTTTTAATCACAAATAGATGTTGAATTTGTCACTTATGTTGGTAATATTAATTTTATTATTCTGAACCTAGTATTGATGTATATATGTATATAAATACACATGAAACAAATAATTATGTTTAAGCTACTAAGAATATGTTCAATCTGTAAGTCTAGGTTTTCTTTTATAAAAATGGCATAAAAGAATGGAAATAAAAGCAAAGCAATGCTAACTTGGAATTGGAAATCAATATAAACTCATGATGTAATTCCTCTGGAAAATAGTAAAGTTTAATTCTGCCCTTTGAGTACAAAGCAGCCCTAAACCCACCAGAACCTATCAGAGTCATGTTACCAGCCCTGCGGAGATGCAGAGAGAAAACTCCAGTTTGGGAAAGTTTATAAAACAAAAGATTAGTTTTCTTTATCAAAGAGACCCCTAAGAGGAAAAGGGGAACATGAAGGCTAAAGGACAAATCCACCAAGTGTAATGCTAGTCTTGTTTGGACCTGGTCTGGACAAAGTAACTGCAATTTGAAATTTTAAAATATGGAACCAAAATTCCAACAACAACCATGTATCTATGCTAAATAATTGCATTCTACGCGTGTGCTAACTGTACTCTGAAAGGAGTTATTAGCATACTGAGTGTTTTACAATGGTATGATATGAAACCTAGAAGTGGGGTTACGGTATTGGAGATTTCTCTGCACACGCCTCCTAAAACTGTTCTGCACCTAAACTGTTGACATATGTCTTGTTAGAGTTATAAGCCAGTTAAGACTACCCGAAAAAAAGCCAGGTTCAGCAAAATTATGCTTTAACGCTATAAAATGCTAAATATTATAATGAAAATAGACACAAGACAGCTGAACTATAGCCATTTTAAGTGTATAGAACCCAGTTGTATATAAACTAAAATTGAGGGCCCGGCGCGGTGGCGCAGTGGTTAAGGTCCTCGCCTTGCATGCCCAGGATCCCATATGGGCACCGGTTCTATCCCAGCAGCCCCGCTTCCCTTCCAGCTCCCTGCCTGTGGCCCGGGAAAGCAGTCGAGGACGGCCCAAAGCTGTGGGACCCTGCACCCGTGTGGGAGACCCGGAAGAGGCTCCTGGCTTCGGATTGGCATAGCATCGGCCGTTGCGCTCACTTGGGGAGTGAATCATCGGACGGAAGATCTTTGTCTCTCCTCTCTGTATATCCGCCTTTCCAATACAAAAAATAATAAAAATAAATCTTTAAAAAAATAAACTAAAATTGAAATGTCAATGAAGAAGTCACAAGATGTGGTTAAGAACTTGCATTTTTTTAAACATATTAGTTACTCAATACTATGTCAATTAATTACATAATGTTATAAATTGTGGCTGATGTTATGTTGGGGCTTTTAATTGATCGGGATGATACTCTGCTGGCTCTACCTTCAGACCAGAAAAGGTCTCCCCGACAAGCTGTTGAACTTATCTGGACAATAAGAGGCTGGACTCTATGCTTGGTATATGCTTGCAATGAAGGAATCTCAACTGAACTTGAACTGTGGTTATGCAACAAGGTGGAGGAATCCACCATGGGGGAAGGGTTAGGGGAGAGGTGGGGGAAATCCCAGTACCTATAAAACTGTGTCACATAATACAATGTAATTAATAAAAAAAAAAAAGTAAGATTTAAAAAGGTAGATGAGTGAGAGAGGTAATCACAGGCAAAATTGGTTGAGATTTGATTTTGTTTGAAGAGGATGAATTGTGCTCAAGAACTCACCTTCCTCTTTCTACTTCAAGTGCAGTTGAAAACAAAAGCAGACAGTAGATTTTAAAAACAAACAAACAAGGGCATCTTTGAAGTACGGTTCTGACCTCTGATACTGGGGATGCACCTGACTCCGAAGCCAGACATCCATTCAGAGGCCCCGAAAACATTGGGATTGTCACCTAAGATCCCAACATAGTTTAATCCTGGAGCAGGAGTGGATCAGGGATTTTGTTTCAAAGACAAATGCGTTTGCCTTCCCTGGT